CGTAATACAATTAAATTCCAGCCCTCTCAATCTAAGCCCACTTGCTTTTTTTTTCCTCTTTCAGTTTTGGGCCCATCTCTTTTCTAGAATCTGGGCAGTTTCTCCCAACTTTCTTTCGTGACGTTACCCCTTGAACGGTAACAGCCCTCTCCTGAAGCTTCCAACGGCGCCTCCACCAAGTCTCCTTCTTCGACCACATCTGAAATTGTCGTCGGCAATGGTCCCCGTTTTCCTTTTCTCTAGTTTTCTTTCCCTTTTCTTCATTATGTCTCCTCTGTTTTTGTCGTGCTTTCACTTTCTTCGATAATGACCCTTGATCTTGTTCCAGAAACCCAACCTTCACTTTGTTTGACGTCTTTCCAGGCTTCTCGTACAAGTTTTTCAAGCAATGGTTGATCATCGGTCTACCTCCTCTCAATCTTAAACCAGCGTTCTTCATTGGTTTCTCAGTCTCACCTTTTTTCTCATTCCTATTATCTTTGATCTTCTTATATGATAATTATGGTGATACTTCCATCTCTGTGATTTCACTCTCATGATCCTTCTTTTGATGGATAAGATCAAGACGCTCGTTTCTATTGCTAATCTCTTCCTTTCTATCTTTGTGTCACAAGGCTAAATTCCTCATAAACTTTTTCCTTGTGTGTCCTAAGGACACTGCCTTAGTACAGCCTAACACCTTTATACTCAGGATTCGAACATAATAGAAGAATGCGGAATACATCCAAAGAGCAACATAACACACATAATTGGAGGGGGCAACACCCCAAAGAGCCACATCCTTAAATATGGCTCGTTTCTATTGCTAATCTCTTCCTTTCTATCTTTGTGTCACAATGCTAAATTCCCCATAAAAATTTTCCCTGTGTGGCCTAAGGACATTGCTTTAGTACAGCCTAACACCTTTATACTCAAGATCCGGACATAAAAGAAGAATGCGGAATACATCCAAAGAGCAACATAACACACATAATTGGAGGGGGCAACGCCCCAAAGAGCCACATCCTTAAATATGGTGGATGGTGGACTTTGTGGGAGAGTGCTTCCTAAGAGCTATCCCTTATATATGCAACAGGGGGTGCTAAATTTTGACATCCTAAATTTAACCTTACTTGGAGTCCACTACAAGACTTGACTAACCTCACACTACTTTGGAGGTTGGAGAGAATCATGGAGCCATTACTCCACTCACTCTCCCAAAGATAGAATTGACTAAATTTAGAAATTCCTAAATTTAGCAATCATGTTCTAGCCCAATGTAGGAATCACTCTCCCACTAGGTCCACCATCTACCCTATTGAAGGATGTGGCCCTATCCTCATGGAAGACTCCTTCACGCCTTGCACAAAACGCTCCATTGTCCCGCGTCCGCCTACGCAAGTTTGTGCCTACCTATGCGTGCGCGTGCGCAAGCACCCACCGTGTGCGAGCGGGCGCGTCTTCTTGGCCGCTCACCACCCGCGTGCGCCCAGTCGCTTGCATCATCTAGGGCGTGATCACATCTACGCACGCCTACTGTGTCATGCTTGCAGGGCGCGCGCCCTACTGCATGCACCTGCCCAGATGTGTATAAGAGACCAATCACACCTCGTAGATGATTGGTGGCGACTCCAAACCCTTATCTCGAAAGAGACCTTTCAGGGGATGACGTCGGCCGCTCCGCGTCGCGA